AAAAAAAAAAAAAACCAAAGAGACAAATTACTTTCATGGAAAATGCATGAGAATATCCCTGATAAATAAAACACAATGCGTATCCCAATGTTTAAGGATGTCACTCACTCTGTAGTTACTGCGCTAATCTACAACTACAGTCACAAATTATCATCAGATTAATTGTAATGCTTAATAAAATGTAATTTTTTTTACATTGCTTAGAGAATAATGACAATGTTTAATACACATGCAATGTTTTCACCCAAATATTTTCTTCAATCTGTGGTTGGCTGAATCCTGCTTTAGGGAACAAACACAGAAGGCCACTATCCTTTACTTTAGGTGCCAAAAAATAGGCGACCTACAAATAGACATTCTGCAATTTGTATTATTTTACTTGAAATTTAAGGGGGATTAAACCCAGGGCACTTTTACCACTAACCTACAACTCAGTCTATTTACTTTTAATAAATACTCTGAGAAGGTGTCTGGCAATGTTGCTTACAACTTCTCAACATTGCTGAGACTCTCAAATTTCTGGTCTTCCTGCTTTTGCCTCTCAAGTACCTGAGTTTACAGGCATGGAACCATGCCCAACTTGGGAGTATTATGTTTTTAGGGAAAATTAAACTTTTTGTGTGATCTAAAGCTCAAGAAAATGTAATCTCAATATAAATAAATCAAGAAAGATGATGAATAAAATACTAATTCTGCAGAATTGCTGCATTTTATACCAACATAAAAAATAAAATCCTTTGAAATGCCAATGAAATCTACAACCTTCTAACATATACTTTCTTTGAAATACAAAACCTTAATAAAATTAGACTTCAAAAATAAAATAAGGCACTGAATATCCAATGAAAATAAATCCTATTAAATCAAAACAAGTATACTTTTATAATATAAAAAAACACGAAAATCAGTGGCATATCTGCAATATCCACTTTTAAATTTTAAAATGAACACCAATATTCAAATTAAAATACATATTTGAAATCTGAAGTTACAACACATTCCAAAATATGTGCTTGTGTGATTTACAAAATTATCAGTAGCAGTTACATAACTCACCGTAATCATATTATCTGACCAAATTTCATTCCAATGCATAAAAAAACAAACAAAGCTAAGGACAGAACAATTCATTAAGAAAGTATGGTAATTAAAATGAACAATCACCTGAGGAACTATTAGAAATATACCACTAAATAAAGGTAGTGCCAGGCATAAAATATAGCATAAATGATTGTTACTGGTAGAATTTTCCTTACGTGAACAACTGTTATCCTTTTGTAAAGCAATATTGTTTATTTTTTTGTTTTGTTTTTACAGAACTGGAGATCAAACCCACGGTTTGGCAATTGTTAGGCAAGCACAGACATTGCCACTGAGCAGCACATTAAGCTGCATTTTAAATAAAAAATCTTTGTCCCTTTACATCAACAAATAGTGCTTTCTTCCATAAACTTTGTATTAAATAAAAACAAAAATCCTATAATAACTGTGTCAAATTCTACTAGGGGAAAGATAAAAATATTAAAGAATATAATCAGGCACAGTAGTGCAAGAATGTAATCTGAGCTAATTGGCTGTCTGATCTAAGAGGATCACTTGGGCTAAGTAGTTCCAGTTCAACCTCAATAACAAACCTCCAAAAAATCTGTAAGCTTTAAGAAAAACAATCTGAGTAGCTTAAAATATTTTCAAGTATATTTGGAACAACCAGAAAGTGTTCAACAATTGAAGGAGACCAGCGTTTTCTGCTTTCACAAATACAATATGAAAACAAAAATATTAAGAGCATATACTATAGAAACATTGTGGTTCAAACTATACCACATGAAGAATCCATGAATGAATAGGACAATACTCTATTCTACCTTTTAAAGTATGTAGTTTAATTCTAAACTATCAAGGAACACAATAGATATTATTCATATAAAATCCTATAATCCTTTCCTTGAATAGGATTTTATAAAACAATAGGATATTCTTATGAAAAGATACTAAATTTAAACCAAAAAATGTTCTTGCAATTACAAAAGAAAAAGAGAGAGAGTATACAATACTTTTAATATACATGCAATTTAGATTAAAAAAAAAGACCACTCATGACTTTATATGGGCTTACACAAATGAATGACATCAGAATACCATTCTTTGAAATCGTCTTTCATGTTTTGAAAGACTATTCTACTAAATACTGGCTAAATGACAATTAACAGAATATTTTGTTTTCTAAAATCTATAAAAGTTCCATTAACACTCAAAACACATAAAAATAAGAGGTTGAATTTTTTTTATTTTTATTTTTGGTGGTGCTGAGAATACACTGCTGGCATGCTAGGTCAGCAGTCTACCATAGGACTATACCCTCAGCCCAAGGCTAAAAATACTAATAAGAAAGTTAAAAGTAAAAGCATTCGGGGACATGTACATTTCTCTTATAAATTAGGTAATTGAATTAGATATTCTGAAATACATAGCTGACTATGTATACACCACTGTGCCATTCTGTCAAATTTCAAAATTAGATACAAATTTATACAATGACATGCAACTATGTCTTATTCCATTTAATTTTAACAACAAATAATAATTATAAGCAGTTCAACTCACCTTCAGTCTGTTGGGAAAGTCGTGTTTGCAAATCTATAACAAAAGAGAATTCTACAGCTCAGTGCAGGAACAATGAAGAGCCTCAACTAACAGGGTAAATGTCAGGAAAGCTTTAATAAAAGAGGACTATAACAGCAGGGTTTATTAAAATGAACTTAGTAAAACCTGGCAGCAAAACCTCCTTCCCCATTCCTCATTGACAAGGCTTTGGGGCCTTTATTTTCCCTCTTGCACTAGGAAACTTATTCCTTTCTTCCTATTCCAACTACCTTTCTATACATAGTTCAAATGTGTTCCACTATACTACTCTCTTCAGCTGGAAATAATGGGAAATGGGGAAAGGGGAGCACACCGGTCAGATAATGTGTGAAAAACCCTGATCTTGAGAATTCAATTCCAAGTACTTGGGAAATTATAATATTTTGTTATATCAGTGACTAATACTTTAAAAGATGTAATAAAACTGTAAACTGATCAACAGTATAAATCAGAAAGTTGTAAACATATTCAATAATCTCATGTTTCTGTACCAAGAATATCAATTTTGGAAAAGACACTTCCAACAATATGAATGTATATTGACTGTGTTTGACAATTGTCAAGGGTAGCAGAGATGATCACAAATTGATTAAAGTGAACAGTTTTCCAGCCTACTATGAGCTACTACTATTATGAGGAATGAAATCTATGGGATTTTATTATAACCAATGAAATATATGGAAAATATAAACATCTAACCATATTAAAAATACATCACAGAATTTTACAAACATATTTTTTCACATAAGCATCACCATTTCCCAAGAAAGCTCTTGGGAAGTAAATGACAACAAGTTTGCCTAATTAAAATGCCACATTGCTATAAAACTACCTTGATGGTAAAAAGAAACAAAATACAAATCACCTGAAAGTTTCCTATAGTAATTTTCATTAAAATGTGATTGAATTTTGCGGCCCATTATTACCATAGAAGGTTCCTGCTGGAGATAGAAATGACCGGGAAACATGGGCCAAACTTATGGGATTTGCGGCCGAAATTATACTGGGATATATATATAATACCTGGGGTCCTAGGTTCTCAAAATTGGCATCTCAGGGAGCTGAATAAATGTTAACTGGAGCTTGTTGAAGGAACTTGAAGACATGATCATAGGAATACTGTCAATAAACCTTAAATAATAACACAAATTTTCGCATAGATATTAGAAATCCATGCTATGGAGTATTTATCAATCTCAATTTCAGTAAGTCATTTTTGATGCCATTCCTGACATAACTAGGAAACAAAGCACGGTTTATAATCATATTTTATCTTAGGACTATTAATCTACTACAACAATAAAAGATGAATAATATAATGATAATCCAATATTGGTTTCAAAGTAACTACTTTGGAATGGGCTTGTAGCTCAGCAGTCAAGCGATCACCTAGCATGTGGGAGGCTCTGGATCATTCCTCAGCATCACGTTAAAATAAAGGTATTGTGACCAACTAAAACTAAAAAATAAAATATATATATTTAAAAAAACCCACATCCGATTAGAAATATTCAGCTAAGACTTATTAACTCACAAAAAAAGCTTACGAGAAGTCTAAAAAAACTATCATTAAAAAATTATTTTAAAAACAGCTAAAAATATTTATATAGAAATTTAAAATCAGGATATGACTCGTATTACCACTATAAGTTCCATGAAGGTAGGGCACAAAATCGTTATTACTATCATCTACTAGAATATCTAGGATATAGGTGACAAACATTTTCTAAATTATCAAAGAATGACATGTACAGTAATAAAAGAGGATAGTTTTCAGGTTTAAAAACAAAAACCCTATCAAATACTAAGAAAAGTTATATTTCATGAAGTAATGCATTTACAGTAAGTGGCATTCTATGACCATTCAGTCACTATACAAAATTAAATTGGTAATATACTTATTTATTATTTATTATTTTGTGGTGCTGAGGATTGAAGCCAGTGCGTTATGCATTTGAGGCAAGCACTCTACCAAATGATATAAAATATCCCCAGCCTTTAAATTCGTACTAATCTTAAAAGTAAAAAATAATAATGCACTGAAACAAATGGAATACAGAGAGATAAGAGAGGCATCAAATACAAAAATGCCACAATAGATATGATTTTTCAAAAAGAATACAGTGGCACATTCCTGTAATCCCACTCGCTTGGGATGGTGAAGATTGAGGATGGCAAGTTCTAAGCCAGCCTCAGCAATGGTAAGGTTTGAAGCAACTCAGTGAGACCCTGTCTCTAAATAAAATACAAAATGGGGCAGTGATGTTGCTCAGTGATCATGTGACCCTCAGTTCAATACCTGGTACCGACCACCATCCCATCCCACTCAACCCCCATCCAAGAATACAGTGGCATAATTGTCAGAAACTACTAGAGACTAACTACAAATCAGGTTAAAAGGTAAGTCATTTAATTGGGCAGGAGGAACGAAAGAAATTCAAAGGCATATTCTCAAAGTCCTCAAACACTTCTAGCTATCCACCAAGAAGGCAAATAATAAAATAACAAAACACACCTCCCTTAATACTAATAATGCTTCTCCATTAAAAAGATAAGGTTTGTATTGTAACAAAAACTATGAAGCAAAAAACTGTCAGTTCTCCCGTTTTTTTCTTCTTTCTCCAAGAACGTCATTCCCCAAATCAAAATCCTACATGATATTAAGAAGGCAATTATCTCATACACTGTTACTTTTGCAATTATTTTAAGTTTAAGGATCTATTGTTTTCACAACTCAAACATTATTGAAAGGAAATGTTTTCATCCTCATTATATCAACTTGTGATTCTCATCAAGAATGATATATTAACCTATCTAAATTTATATTAATTCCCAATAAAACCTGGGGCATAGATTTCCAATATATCCTGAGAAGTGAATGTTCAGTGGACACAATTCAATCCAAAATGTATACTTCCTTACATGAACTCTAGAAATTTATGCTAAAAGTACTTGATGAATTGAATTCTCAGTTAGTCCTTTTAAATGCAAAAATTTGGCAAATTTTCGAATTAGATGAAAAAAATAAATGATTTCAAATTAGAAAAGATTCAATTCCTACCTGCCACAGCACCAAATGCCAAAGAGCCACTCATTTGTAAAGCCTGCTGGGCTGCTGGTGGAATCTGCAAACCTGTACCTGTAAAAGAATAGATTTACAAGGTAAGTCGTTTAATTTGGCAGGAGGAAAGAAGAGAAATTCAAAGGCACATTCTCTAAATGTCCTCAAACACTTCCAGTTTACTATGCTAAAAACAAGAGAAACAAAGTTTTCTGGATCCATACTACCACTTTCACCTAAGTCAGTAATAAGAAAAGGTATAATACCTAAAACTACACTACAGTACTTCAAGTTTTTCATCAGTACACCTGTAAAAAGTTATGACAAACATACCCTCAGCAAGTCTTGCCATTAATTGGAGACGACCAGTTGTTCCCAAGTCAATTCCAGTCCTTTCCAGTTCGTCACTATCCAAAAACGAACTAGCACTAGAAGCATCAGTACGTTCAGTAACATGACCAACTTTCATTGGCCTTCCTGCTAGTTCAAATCCATTAAGTTGTTCCAAAGCCTTTTTGGCACATTCTGAGTCAGAAAACTACAATTGGGGAGGGAAAGGAGAAGAGATTCACAACATTTTATTTATACACATACACATAACCCTAATAAATATACTCAATAATGACTACCAGGTAGATAGGGAAATAGATTTCAAGATTTAAGTAACAGATCAGACCTTAAAATTATACAAATTAAAATCAAAATTTATTGACAAATAATTTCAATGAAAGAAAAGATATTATTTTACAGTTGGTAATATGGGATATTAATAATAAAATTTGGAAAGTAATTTTTCAAAAACCAGAATGCTTTTTTTAAAATATTTTTGACCCAGGCTGGGGATGTGGCTCAAGTGGTAGCATGCTCGCCTGGCATGTGTGCGGCCCGGGTTCGATTCTCAGCACCACATACAAAGATGTTATGTCTGCTGATAAAAAATTCTCTCTCTCTCTCCCTCTCTCACTCTCTCTTTAAAAAAAAATTTTTTTTGACCCCTGTGAATTGAACCCAGGGATGCTTTATCACTGAGGTATATTCCTAAGCCTATTTTTAAAATGTTGATAAGATTTTTTCCATTCATGAAGGAAAACACAATGAGAAATTAAAATGGGGATGTGGCTCAAGCGGTAGCGTGCTCGCCTGGCATTCGTGAAGCACTGGGTTGGATCCTCAGCACCACATACAAATAAAATAAAACTTAAAAAAAAATTTCAGCCAGGCATAAAGATGTGTACTATAATTCCTACGATGCCCCCAAAACAAACAAACACTATAAAGACTAGGGATGTGATCCCAGGGTTTAATTACCTTTAGAAAATAACAATTATGCTTACAAAGATCATAATAATTGTATATGCTAGTTAAATGAAAAGATATCAACCATTTAATACAAATATCCCATGCAAATAATTTATATAATCTAATTTTATATAAATATAACTATACAACAATAGAACGTTCATGAATCATTTGGTAAAATTTAAATCTTCTAATAAAAACGGTTCTACAGACCAAACTCAATATAATCCTTGTACTTTTAAATTACTGAAATTTTATTACCTAGAATACAATACTCAAATCTGATACAAATTACAGGAAAAAAATCCTGAATATATTCCCTTAACAAAACTCCCATTCAAACCCTGGTACACCCCCCCCCAAAAAAGATTAATATCAGGCTAAAGGCTGTGATGCTGAGGCTGGCTTTGAACTCACACTCCTCCTGACTCAGCCTCTCATGCTACTGGGATTATAGCATGGGCCACACCCAGCTACAACTTTTTTTTGAAAAATGAAAGAGGTAACCATGCTAATGTTATTAAGAAACACAATGCTGGTGTACTACATTTTCTAAATAGCTTTTCTCCTTTCATCAATATATTAAGGTAGAGTTGGACTAAAACAGACATATGAATTTTATTTATTTGGTAGCAGGGATTGAACCCACAGAGTCACGTGCCCAGCATGTCCCCCCCCCTTTTAACCTAAGAATATAGTTCAGTGTAGAGCACTTGGCCATCATGTATGAGGCCCTTGGTTGTACACCAGCACCCTACACACATATGAAAAAGTAGAAGCACATCTGTTCTACATTACTCCAATTAACACTTAATAATCCTATTAGAACTGGGCTATCATGATTAGCCACAATCACTTGTTATAATGCAAACATATGCTTGGTTGTTAGGTATGTATGCATTTTAAAAAGAATTTTAAGTGAAACAAGATGCCGTAACAATGTGACACAAGAGAAACAGAATGATATAACAGCTTTCATTAAGATTTGGCTAAGCAAACTGACAACATATTTAAAAAAATCAGATATAATAATAATAATAGAAAAGCTCCTAATGATGAGATTTATTATACTTAGTAAGTAGTATCATACAAAGAAATAAAAAGGGTTGGTGATAAGTGGAAGAGTACACACATGCCTACCATGCAAGAGATCTGGGGATTAATGGGTATGTTCAAAAAAAGGAAATAAAAAATGAAAAGAAAATGACTACTATTACCAAATTTAAGCAATTTGAAAATAGTAACCATATCTACATTCCTGGAGGGGGGAGAATCACACAAATATAGTTCCAATATGCTACTTATTTCAAAAGTCATATGTTAACATGTCAATTACTTACTGTAATAAATCCATAACCCTTAGAGCGACCTGTTTCACTATCCATCATGAGCTGGATACTTTCAATCTAAAAATAAATGTCATAATTATTTAAGTCAACAAGAGAAAAAAAGCATAGTATAGACAACTCAAAAAATTCTCCTCCCAATAGAAAAAACTGAAAATTTCTCATAACCCTTAATTGAAAAAAAAAAAAAAAAAAAAGCAGCTCTAGAAAATTTGTTAAGCAAGAAGGTATACACTGAAGGGTGGAAATAAAATTAAGATTGTCTTACGTAGTTGGGAGTATTGCTGTGATACTCACAGCACACAACTTCCAAATTGTAGACCCTGGGTTTGATTCCCAGTGCCAAGTAAAATAATTGTCTGTTTATTCAGGGGGGAAAAAAAAAGTCTAAGGCCTTTCTAAAATAACATCAGGTGTCAGAAACAAATATTCTATGTCCTTTCCATACTGGGGATGGGGGAAGGCTAGAAACTGAACTCAGGACAACTCAACCATTGATCCATACACTCCTAGCAAGGTTCTTATATTTTATTAAGAGATAAGGTCTTACTGAGTTGCTTAGCATCTTGCTTTTGCTGAGGCTGGCTTTGAACTTGAGATCCTCCTACCTGAGCCTCCTAAGGCGCTGGGATTACACCCATGCACCACCATGCCTACCTACAGACACTTATTTTTTAAAAAGTTTCAATAGGCTAAACACTGAATATAGTGATTAGTGGACACCACTTACAAAAAGTTAACTTCATAGTTCATCAATTATAACAATTAAACTGTCCCTAAAAGCTGCCCATATAAAAAAAAAAGGACAAAGAAAAATTCAAATATAATACCTATATTATATTATTTAGTGTTTTGGTTGGTGGTTTCAATCTTTTTGTGTTGTGATAACTAAGCAAAATGTACACTTTGATAGTGGCACTGCTATACTTCCAATAAAGCAACCCCAACAATAACAAGCCTTTTTGAATGATTTTTTAAAAACTTAATAAAGGGATGCCATATATTGGTGCGCTGAGAAACAAATTTAAAAACCACATTCAAATTTGGACGCCATCATGCACGCCTGTAAGCCCAGTGGCTAAGGAATCTGAAACAAGAGGATGACAATTTTATAGCCAGCCTCAGCAATAGCTAAGATCTAAGAAACTCAGTGACACCCTATCTCTAAATAAAATACAAAATAGGTCTGGGGATGTGGCTCAACGGTTGAATGTCCTGAATTCAAACCCTGGTACACCCACCCCACCAAAAGATTAATATTAGGAAAAGGGCGGTGGTGCATGCCTGCAATCCCAGCAACGCACAAATACAAGGACAACCTTGGCAACATAGAAAGATTAAAAATAAGAAAAATAAAAAGGGTTGCGAAAGTAGCTGTGATAGCCTGTGGGTTCAATCCATAGTACATACTCGCACCCATGGGTTTGTCCATTGTAAGATACTGATTCTGTCAGAAATAATTTAATTACTTAACTTAGTAGTAGAGAAGCTTCTCCACATACCACTAGAATTGTAGTATGGGGTAAAAACCTCCCAAAACAAAATATGGTCTAATTAAAAATGCACAGCATAATCATTTATCCTTAATGATTTTTTAAAAAATTGATTCCCTATAATAACAAATTCTACATATAGAAATTGTTATGTACTACATATTGGGTAAAGAACTTCTAAAACATCCATTGATGTACTTACTCTTCCAAATGGCTCAAAGATTCCCCGAAGCATATCTTCAGTTATGTTAAAGTGTAATGAGCCCACATAAAGTCTCATAGGTCCTGCACTTCCCTTTTGTAAATTGTTTGCCATTGCTGCAGCTCTGTTTTTTTCTGCCTACAAGAAAAATATGAACAAATCCATAACAAATAGTGCTAATACATCAGGTTGAACAGACAGACATGCTCAATGACAACCACAGCCAAGATTAGAGATACAAATATGCTAAGTAAACAAGTTACAAAAAAAATCTATAAATCACTTTAGAAGGAAAAAAAAAATCAGAAACAGAATGCAGTTTACAGATTATCATAAACTAAGGAAAGAGAAAAGAGAATTATGGGTAAAGAATATACTTTCTGCTCAATGTTATGCAACATTCTGATGACACATATTGGTAATAGTACAACATTTGAAACATGATTAATGGCACTGAACTGAATGCTTAATAATAGCTGAAATGTACGTTTTATAATAAAATCGATTTAAGTATATGCAAGTCATGTATTTCATATGCAAGGGGCTGGAGATACAGCTCAGTTGATAGAGTGCTTGCCTTGTATGCACAAGGCTCTGGGATCAATCCCCAGGACCCCACCACACACACAATACACAAAATCCATATTTCATATGTAAAATTAAATCCACCACAAAACTACATTTTACATTCTGACAGAAGGATCCTGTCTGGTCACAAACTAGAATGTACATTCAGTAGTATTAGTATCTTTATGAGAGGTCAGTTTTATTCACATACACCTAGTGGGTTTCTTATTCATTCTGACAAATAACTTGAGCTAGGATTATTTATTTTTTAAATTTTCTGGTAACTGTAGATGGACGGAATGCCTTTAAAAAAAAAAAAAAAAATGGTGTGCTAAGGAGTGAACACAGTGCCTCATACATGCTAGGCAAGCTCTCTGCAACTGAGCCATCGCCTTAGTCCAACCTATGATTATTTTCCTATCCAGTTTATAAAGACCATTACTCAGGATTAATAATCATGAAAACAAAGGACATATAATACAATGGTAAAAATTAATCTAACAAGCAATTTGGCTACACTTACAGTTTAGCAGTTAACAGTAGACATGACATACTCTATCAAGTTTGTACGCAACTTCAAAAGCATTATGTAATTTTGATGAACTGAAGACTTATGGAGTAATGAATGTATTTCAGTAATTGAAAAGCAAACAACTTCAGATGACTCAGGAGGCTGATAACTGAGCTCAAAATGGATAAATGAGCTCAAGACCAACTTAACCAACTTAGTGATTAACTTAAATCTGTCTCAAATGGTGCTTAGAAGGACTCATTTTCTGGTTTAGTGGTAGAGCAAATGCTTAGCACGTGTGAGGCACCAAAGTGGATCATCAGAACTACATAAAGTTATTCAAAACACACACACACACACACACACACACACACACACACAGTATTGGGATGCAGCTCAGCTGAAAAGTGACCCTGATTCAGACATTTAGTATTAAAGGAGAAAAAAGACGAGCCATTGTTCTTCTAGCTTATTGCACAAAATATTTAAACGTATCTGCCATGAAAAAAAAAAAGCTGCATGAGGCTGAGGCAGGAGAATCATGGAGTTCAAAGCCAAGTCTTAAAAAAGTGAGGTGCGAAGCAACTCAGTGAAATCCTGTCTATAAATACAAAATAGGGATGGGGACGTGTCTCTGTGGCGGAGTGCCCCTTAGTTCAAACCCCAGTTCAGACCTCCACCAAAAAAAAAAAGCTGACTAGCAACAGAAAATGGTTGCTTATTCAGTATGTATAGAGTAATGAATCCTAAGGATAGTTTCAAAATACATAATCAATAGACTTAGGCATCCTGATTTTTCTGTGTACAAAATAACTAAAATATGAAAGTAAATTTGTTTCCACAAAGCAATTCTCAAATACTCTGAGGTATCAATAAATCATAAACTGAATATTAAACAAAAATACTTCAAATGAGATTTTAACATCTTACCTAATATGGGAGCAATGGTACACACATCTATAATCCCAGTCACCTGGGAAGCTAAGGTGGGAAGATCTCATGTTCAAGGAGAGGCTCAGCAACTTAGTGAAGGGTTAAGCCCTTAGTGAGAACCTGTCTCACAAAATGGGGAAAGGGGATTGTCTGGTCTGTAGTTCAGAGATAAAGTGTTACCACATTCTACCCCAAATACCCCACCCCCCAAAAAACCCTTATGTTCAAAAGAATCTTGTAACCAATGGTTTCAAACTACTCTATTTAAAAAAAAAAAATTAATGAAGAAGATTCTTTTTCTTTTCCTTTCATACCTCACTGGTGTGAGCAACCCAGCCACCAGTAAAGACATTACTTAAAAAAAAAAAAAATTTTTTTAAGGCTGGGGCTGTAACTCAGTGGCAGACCACTTGCCTAGCATGTGTTGAGGTACTAGATTTGATCTTCAGCACTACATATAAATAAATAAATAAATAAATAAATGGATAAGGGTGCTATATCCATCACAACTAAAAACTTTTTTAGGGCTGGTTTGTGGCTCAGTGGTAGAGCTCTTACCTAGCATGTGAGGCACTGGGTTTCTCAGCATCGAATATAAATTAAGTAAAGGACCTTATACAGCTAAAAATTTCTTTTGTAAATTCTTTAAATAAAAACCATGTGAAAGAAAACATTCATTTATCTTTTTTGTACCAGGGATTGAACCCAAGGGCATTTAAATACTGAACCACATTGCCAGCCCATTTTTAAATTGCATTTAGAAACAAGATCTGGGTAAGTTGCTGAGGATGGCTTTACCTGGTGATCCTTCTGCCTCAGCCTCCTGAGCTGCAGGGATTGCAAG